CCCCCCCCCAGCAGCACACCAGATCCAAAGGTGAGCAGCTCGTGCTTGCTTGCTTGCTTGCTTGCTTGCTTGCTTGTTTCGTCTCTGCAACGAAAACAACAGGAAAAGCAAATACAAAAAGAGAAAAGAGAACAGCTGCCAAAAGAAAGAAAGACAGAAAGATAGATAAATAGATAGGTATAGACAGATACAGAAGCCACAGAAGCCAAAAGCCACAAAAGCCAGAAGCCACAGAAGCCAGAAGCCAGAAGCCACGAAAAACAACAAAAATTCCAAAAAAGAAACAAAAAAAAATCCAAAAATAAATACCCCTCCGTAAAAAATTAACGTCTTCGTATAACATGGTGCTGGTAGAGCCTATGGGATTTTCTACATGCATGAGAGCTCTTTTTGGACAAAAACTCATATTGGATCATATTGGTGCCTTGAGAAGAGATGTGAGGCATACCCTTCACAGGTGCAACTCCAGTGGTGACCTGCAAGCATGAGGCACACATGAGGTACCAATGAAGCACGCATGGAGTGTGTTGCTGTCTTGAAAGCATTGGATGCTCTGAGGTCATTCTAGCCGCTTTGAAGGTTTGAAAACACATTCCAATCACACTGAATAGCAATGCAAAAAAGAGTTGCAAACACATCCAGCATTCGCTGACCTCGTAGAGTCCGGGCAAACACTTCGAAGCCTCAAACGACCTCAGTTGCCACGGCGCCGGTCCGACCGTCCCACTCTCCGACTCGGCGCCCACCTCAACGGCGGGAGGCTCGGCATGATCTCCGGGTTCACCTCCGCAGGCCTCGCCAGACCCGAAGGCACTGCAGCGGACCCGAATCCTGGTCAAAACACACAAAGCTTGTAGAATCCTCAACGAAATGGGCAGCCGATTCTGGGCCTCGAACATGTGTTTCCCACGCTGTTTTGCCATCCCCAAAAGCTCAAAACGACTTCGTTCCCAAAACAAGAACGCTGACAGAACGATCGACGCATCTTTTTCTTGCAGCACCTGATGCCCGAGGCCTTCCGCGGGCGACCAACCTGTGACCCAAAGACCGATCAGTCGATCCAGCTATTTGGCGGCCCCAAAGAACAGCATGGAACAGCTACAATCGACCTGGCTCTGGCAACGATGTGGGTCATGTAAGTTAAAAAGTCACAGGGCTGGAGAAAGCTTCGTGCTGTGGAAAATGAGAAGATTCATGGAGCCCATGAACTGGTGTCCGATTTGAAGTGTAACTTGACTTGACTCAAACTATAGAGATAAACTTTGAATCAAGCTGACGTGAAAAATTGCATTTGCAGCCCTTACCAGCCTTTTGCAGCAGCACTTCCCCTTTGGACTGTGTCCGCGCCATGGCGAAGAATGGTAGCTCAGTAGCTCTGGAAAAGAATGACCTGTCTTCGTGCGACACCTCATGGGAGGACAAATTACAGCAACCAGTGGTCAGATAGGGAGTATATATTGGGAAAGGATAAGTACAGGGGCTCCTGTTGCAGTCTGCAGGCACAACCGAGACATTTTGTTGGAGCGGCTGCACATGGACCCATTGCCTTTGGCAAGCGGCCCTTGGTCAGCTGAGTTGCGGAGAGAGCTCACAAAACCCAAAGCTTCAATGGGCCTCTCCTCATGCCCGTCAATGTGGCAGTGCGCATGCCAGTCAATGGTGGCATGGCACTTCAAAACAGCACAGTGGCCGCCACAGCTTGTTTTCCGCAGACGGTATCAACTGGCAATGATCGGCCTGAAGCTTGCTAAAGACTCCTAAAGTGCCATCATTGAAATGACATGATTGTATCTGAACATGTAAGGAACACCTTCAACCCTAGCAAATGTCAAGATCCCACTTTGAGCTGCATACATTATCATGTTCAAAAACGAATGCAAGGACTTCTGCCAGCACCCTCAGTGGCATGGGCTTAACCAGAAGGCCAAACACCTGAGAAAAGCTCAGCTGAAGACAAAGATGGATAGCACATGAAGAAGATTGTAATGTGTGTAACCTCTTCTGCCCCCAAATCAAGAGTGCCCACCTTAGTCATCATCAACGGCGTGCATATGCTTCTCAGGTCGCACCTGCACAAGACGGGTCTGGGTGCTGAGTCCTGGGTTGCATTGCACCTTCTGCTCAAAATCTCAAGAAACAGATTGACGAACCTTTCTAATTCTAATCTTGTGTCCTGAGTGTCCTGCAAAAATAACAAAAAACATGTCTGCGTCTGCCAAAACGTTCGGTAACGAAGGGCCCCCCCCACAATAGACTTTTCTCGTTTCCAGCCACCGGCCCCACGAAGGGATATGATTCAACAAGGTTGCCGCTTTTGACAGGGGCTTATCGCTTTTTCAGGCCCTAGCCACACTTTCAACCTAGCAAAAACTGCGGCGACATGCTTATCGCCGTCACTGTTGACGGGGGTCTATCCCTTTTGCAAGTTTTAGCCACATCCCTGAAAATCCCGGCCGCTCTTTACTAAATTGGCCATCGCACGTTTTGGCGGTTGTTCACATGTTTGTGTCGCATGCGACAGCATCCTGAATCACAAAAATCCCAGGCCTGATCAGGATCACGAGGCGGATTGGGACTTGGCAGTCGAGGTGCTCATTCATGCTTCGGATTACAACCGACCAATCACAGAATCCAACTGGTGAACATCGAATGGAAACTCATCACTCCAAGGACTTGCGTGCAACGCCCTGGGCATGCTGGCGGATTCGCGCGCATGAGGAGATGCAGGTAGAAGTAGTGTCCTGTCCAGTTCCGGATCGACGACAGGACACCGCATCTCCTCACTAAACTATTATGCATGTCCTGTCTGTCATGTGACTCTTCATCAGATTTCACAATGGTTATGGATTGAGATGTCTTCTTTGGCCCTCCAAGTCAAGGGGCGTTGGAATTTCCTACAGCAGTACAGGTGCACAACAGTCCTGAATAAGCACCCAAATTGCAGATGAAGAAGAGGAAAAAACCACTTCTGGTTTGTGAGGGAATACTTCCTGAGTTTGGCAGAGCTTTAGTCAGCATCATTCAGTCCACTAAGCAAACCTATCCAACGCTTAGCTAAACCCGCTTTTCTGTCAACGTTCTTCGTCCGAGAAGCGGCAGCATCACCTGCGGATGGAAGATGTCCGTTCCAGTGCCTGGGGGGCGCCTTCGGCACACGCAAAGAAGTCCTTGGCATGCTGAATTTGAATGAACAAAACAGCAAACACTTGTGTGTTTGTTTTGTTCTGCAGTAAGCAGAATTGATGAGCAGGTGCGAAGGCCTTGATGTTTGTTCCAAGACCACAAAACGTCAAAGGCTAAGACTCTAAGACTAGAACCCGCAGTGGCGCACCATAGCGCTGCGAGCGCGGGTGATCACCGCGCGGCCAAGCAGCATGGCCTAACGGCCATCCCCCCTCCGCTGATCCCATGTGGAGTATGGTTTTGCCTGGTTTTGCTCCAACAGCATGTTGAGAGTCGTGACATGCTAGCCTATACTTTGTCAGTGTTACATTAAAAACCAAACGCAACAACGAACGATAAAGGTTAAGCAAAGTCAAGCAAAGTCGGTGAAAAACAGAAGGAGCAACAGCTTTCCAATGCACATGTAGAATTTCAGAATACGTTTCCGTGTATGCGTGACATGTCAAAGCTACACAATAAATCACTGAATAAGAACATTTCACGCTCATCTTCGATCATCGAAAAGTCAAGTCGAGCCAGTCGAGCCTTGAAGGAGCAACGCTCGACCGCCGTGGATGGCGTTCTCAGCGCTTTTTGAGCCGTCACTGCAGCGGACGCGGAGAAGTGGAGTTTGTAAAAGCTGGGCGGTAAAAGGACAAAGGAAGCGATGCGCTTTGCTTCTAGTAGCACGGCCATGAGCCCCTAGTAGCGTCTTTGCTCCTAGTAACAACAAAGGTTCTCACAACACATAAAATGCCAATTAACCCACCCGCCTCAGCCCTGTTTTACATGGTGTGTTGCGTCCCGCCTTTTCAGCTGCACCCGGCCACATTGCCGGTCTCCACCCGGGCGTGGAAGACTTTCTTCCCCTCACCCCCCACTACGCCGTCCTGGCCTGAGTCTCGGTCTTACAGGTTCTGGGCATATTGCTCAAACAACTTCAGACATCCAGCTCCTCACAAAGCCGCTATGAAGTGTCGGTTTGGGCACTTCATCAACCGCAATTGCGTCTTTGACAGCTCACATCTTTACAAACTTCCTTCGGCCCATTTCTCATTCATCTGAATGGACCTTAACTTCAACTCTTCAAGCGCCAGCTCGATTTCATTCTTCTTGCCTTCAGCCTGCGTTAGCAGCTCCGCACTCTTGGTCTTCTCGACCTTGGCCTTCAGCTCCTCATTGTCCTTCAGCGGCAGGAACTTGGCTCGAAGGTACCTCGAGATGGTTTCACTTCCCCATCGACAAAAATGTGTATCCAGAAAATTCCACTCCCAGCCGTGCGAGGAACTGCACATTTGATGGTCTCATCGCGTGGCTGTGGCCTGTGATCGACTGGCAGGTGTCTTCATCGATCCCCATGGCCGTGGCTACTCTTCGGAACGATTCTGCTCTTGGGGGGCGCTGCACGAGGGCAGCAGTGACAAGTAGAGGGCTTTCACCATATGACCTGCTTCTTGAGCCGTCTGCAGGAGACGCCTTGCTGCCGCCACAGGGCAAAGCTGTCACGCAGACAGCCCTGCCGGCGCAGCACGCCAGCTCCTCTGGTGTCTGGTATCTGTTTTAAAGCTCAACTATACCACATCCTCTCTCTGCAGACTCCACTGTGAGGTGTTTGACTTTTCGCACAGCAGCTTCCATTTCGCGACAGGCGAACAAGGAAAACAAAATGACCGTGTCCATCGGTCGCGACGGGCCATCCGGAACTGCTTCCACCTCCCTCAGCTGGGTCATTTTCCTAAGGAAGTGCACGCCTTAACTGCGCCTATTCCTCTGCAGCACGACCTGACGGCGTCTTTGATAATAAGTTTCGCGCAAGCTCGTTTCTGCAGCTGGTTTCAATGAGATTTGATGGCGCATATAGGGAACAACCTAAGTCCACTGCCTAAAGGCACAAAGGCCACAAAGGCGACACCGTCAACACTCGGCAAGCTGGGTTTGTGGCTCAGCCCAGGGCTGATGCATACAGGGTTCCCACGGATATGTTATAATATCATCAAATCCTCCACGGGTATACTGTGAATCGCGGGGCACCGTGGTGCGCGGTGGCGTTTGAAGGTTTGAACTGGAGTGCCTGTTTTGAGGCCGAGTACTTGCCGGTTTGCCCCTCCTCCATTGCCCGTTTGAACAGTTCTGCATCTTGAGCCGTTTCCAGTCGGCTGCAGACCCGGCGTGTATGGTCGAGCTGTGGTTCAATCTTTCGGAACGCTCTGCTGGCTGCTTTGCTGGCTCACGTCAAGCACCCTGGATGGCTCACCTTCCTTTTCAGCTTCCTTCTCGAGGACATCCCCTTTTGCAGGAACACTTCTTGGTGGAAGACCTTTGGCATCTTCATGGGGGATTCCACCACACCTAAAGTCTCTGTTTCTTTTCTGTCAAGGAGTTCAGTCTCCTCTTTGACGAGTTAGCCTCCTCTTCACGTTCTTCGTCTGAGCTCTTCTGATCGCCCCGCCCTTACAGGAAGGGGAGGGTGGGCCAACATATGTGATGCGTGTTCTTGCGCTCCACGCGAAAGGGTCCGGCGTCGCAGTGATCGCACGAGACTGCCGCTTGCACCTCAACTCTTTGAAGACATTCCACATCGAAGCAGCGGCGTGTTCGATCTTCCCACAGGTGTGGGGGGTGGCCGTGTTTGCAGCCCGGCCACTGCTTGATGGATCCTTCCATATTCGGCTCTTCTGCAAACCGGTTCATGTCCAAAAGGGGGCTGGGGAATGAAAGGACACAAAACTGCACCCACATGAAAACGGAGCAAACGAAACACCGCCACGAAGTGCACAGCAAAGCAACTGAATCGGGCTTTATCCTCTATCTCGCCAGCACGGCGTCGCGCGTGACCGCGTGACCGAAACGACTCGCGAGCGCGGCGCACGCCAATTCTCCACCCTCGGCTGCTGCGATAGCTCTGGAGGCATCTCTCCTCTGGGCCCAACCATTATCCTCGCTCCATAGGTGAAGAGCTTCTGTCAAAGAAAAGCTCATGGCACGTGCGTGACCACTTCTTTTGTGACTCTGTTCAAAAGCAATTGCAGCCAGCACTCCTTGTGCGTCACCCCGGGTTCGAATGTAGCCCTGCTCACCCGGAACTAGCCATGTCCACAGTGCCCTCAACATCATGTAGGCTTCCCCAATTCGAGCTTCCAACCATCATCGTCTTCAGCCGACCAGACCAGCGCATAGGTCTCCACTGCTTTCCCACCTTTCAAGCGCACTGCTCCTCCTTGC